ATTTTTGTTAAAATTTTGGACAAAAAAATATCCGTCGAATTTTTAAGGAAACACATTTTCATCGAAAATTTTTGACGACAAATATTTCCGTCAAGTTTTTTTATAAAAAAAATTTCCATCAAAATTTTCAATGGAACACATTTCTGTCAAAAAATTTCGACCGAAAATGTTTCCGTAAAAAATTTCACTACAAGAAAAAATCTTATCAGTGACGTAATTTTGTGAAATTTCGTCACAAATTCCTGCATCGCAAGTTTATTTGTGACGAAATTTGATTATTTGTGTAAAAAATTGTCATTTGTGACGAAATTTTTCGTCACAAATAAACTTTTTTCTTGTAGTGTTTTGACGAAAAAAATTTTGATGGAAAAAATGTTCCATCAAAATTCTTTACAGAATCTAAATTTCGTCGAAAGTTTCAAATGAAACATTTCCCTCAAAAATTTTGAAAAAATAATTTCCGTCAAAATTTTAATCAAAACATATTTCCGTCGACATTTTGAACGGAAAACATTCTGTCAAATTTTTTTACGAAATTCTTTTTTCGTTTAAATCATTTGATGGAGGAAATCGTTTTCGTTAAAACTTTGAATGGAAACTAATTTTCATCAAAAATTTCGGAAGGAAATTTATTTTTGTAAAAAAATTCATCGGAGAAAAAATTCCGTCATTTTTCGACGAAAAAATAATTTTGTGACCAAATATTCATCGTTTGCAACATAGAAATTTCGTCAAAAAAATGATCTTTTTCAATATTGTGAAAACTATATAAATAATTTTGTTAGAAATTATAAATTTAATTTAATTGATAAAATATAATAATTATATTAATTTTTAAAAGGGGTAAAATGGTAAAAAATATCTCATTAATCCTCCATTTCTCTCCCATTTCATTTTTTTAACTCTCAAACAAGGAAAGAGAATACTCTCCAATTTTCTCTCCTTCCTTCTCCTTGAATTCTCTTCCTTTCCTTCCTTTCCAAACTCCCAACAATCCAAGATTCTGGACTTTTCGTAAATATGAAAGAGATGCCATTCCTATATCATAGACATGGATATAGGAAGATTTTCGTTCCTTGCCCACCCTTTCTTCCACATCAAAGAAAGTTTGAATAGCAGTATCCGTTGTTACTTGAAACATTGCACTCAGTAACATCGATGAATTTGGGAAAGGTGCAGAAAGAGAGGGATTCGAACTCTCGGTAAACAAAAACCCTACATAGCAGTTCCAATGCTACGCCTTAAGTGGTACTTCATTGTGCAATATATAGAAGAATTCTACAATATATAGAAGATCCACTGTATAGATATTATCATCTACATTGGGAGTTAGTTTTAGGAGGCGAAGGAAATAAAATGGAAGGTTTTAGTAAGTCCTTCTCTTATTTGTGAGTTTAAAAAAATGGTTTTATTAATCTCATGTTAAAGGAGATGTGTTATCTCATGTCACGGAGACAAATTTTTGGACTCCACCACCTAAAAAATGAAATGAAAAGAAAAGAAAAGAAAAAGGTGGCACAATTTATCGAAGGATGTGTAGGAGAGAAAATTATCACATGTAACATGAGACTAGCTTTACCGTTAAAAAAATGAGGGAAAAAATTGAGGATTTTTACTAAGGCTTTGTTTGGGAGTTTGGAGGCGAAGGAAAGGAAGGGGATCCAAGGGGGAGAGAGGGGAAAGAAATTGAAAGGTATTCGTTTCCCTTGTTTGGGAGTTAAAAAAATGGTACAGGAGAACAATCGAGGGTTAGTGAGATATTTTTAAAATTTTACCTCATTTCTAAAATTAATAAAAATTTTAAATTTTTGACAAAAATAAATTTTTTATCGAGATTTTCGACGAAATTTAGTTTCTATCAAAAGTTTTGATGAAAATGCACGAAAAAAAGAATTTCCCCAAAATTTTTGACGGAATGTTTTTCATTTAAAATTTCGATGGAAAAGTATTATGACAAAAATTTTGACGGAAATTGTTTTGTCAAAATTTTTGAGAGAAACGTTTCATTCAAAACTTTCGACAAAATTTAAATTTTGTAAAGAATTTTGACAGAATATTTTTTTCATAAAAAATTTTTATCGGTATATTTTCCGTTTAAAAATTTTACAAAAATATTTTATTTCAAAAATTTTTGACAAAAATGTGTTCAGTTGAAAAATTTGATTGAAATATTTTTTATTAAAAAACTTCACGGAAATATTTTCTATCGAAAATTTTCGATGGAAATGTGTTTCGTTAAAAATTTTGACAGAAATTTTTGTTGTCAAAAAGTTTAACGAAAATGTTTCTGTCGAAAACTTTCGACGGAATATAAATTTTGTAAAGAATTTTGATGAAATTTGTTTCTGTCAAAAATTTTCGGTAGAAATGTGTTTCTTTAAAAAATTTTATGGAAATATTTTTCGTAAAAATTTCGATAAATATGTTTTTTTGTGAAATATTTTGACGAAATTTAGATTCCGTAAAGGATCTTGACAAAAAAAAATTTCGTCAAAATTTTTTACAAAAATGTTTTTAGTCACAAGTTTTTATGGAAATATTTTTCGTCGAAAACTTTTGCGAAAAATTTTCGCAGAAATATTTTTTGTAAAAAAAATTGACGTAATTGTTTTACGTCAAAACTTTTCAATGAAAATGTGTTTCGTTAAAATTTTGGATGGAAATTTTTTCGTTGAAAGTTTCAACGGAATTTAGATTCTATTAATAATTTTGTCCAATTTTTTTTTTGTATAAAATTTATGTCAGGGATTATGGAAAAATCTAGTTCTGTCTCTAATTTCGTCTTTAGTTTTGACCGAATTTTTTTGATGTATATGATTTTCATCAAAAATTCTATCATTATTTTTGACGAAATATTTTTCGTCGTTAAATTCTCTCGGTATTTGATATTTTTCTAATAATGTCACATTTAAAAATAATTCACATTTATGTAGTTTTCACATTTTAATGCTAAGGGTATATAAGTAATTTCTAATATTTTACCCCTCAAACCCCCTAGATTGGAGGAACTTTAATTTTAAGAGGAAGGAGGATTTTGGAGAGTTTAGTAAAAGGGAAAAATATGTGTTATTTTAAAGAATGTAAAATTATGTCATTTTAAGAGAGAGAGAAAGAGAGATAAAGGAGAAAAGAGAGTTGACAAAAAAAAAATAAAGGTATGGGTCCCATATTTTTGTAGGAGGGAAATGATATAAGTTATGTCATTTAAAATGATATATATTTTTCCTTTTAAAGTTATGATTGTTGATTTATAAGTAAATGGCTGAAATCATGCAAGATATATAAAAGTAAGCTTTGAGTGGATGCTTGATTTTTATTTTTATTTTTTAACCGGTATAGAAAAACCTAGTTATAAATTGCTCAGAACGGAGATACAAGGCATTTTAAATAGTTTGCAACTTGCTTGGAAGATGAATGTTGAGAAGCTCATAATGGAGAGACTATGATTCTGTGGTTTCCATGGGGAAGAATGGGCTTGGGTTCAAGTATAGTCATACTGAGTTTGATGACATTAACAACATAAAGAAGCTTCTTTCTGATCCTAAGTGGGAAGTGAGACTGATTCCTATTCCTAGAGCAGCAAATCGAGTTGCAAACAAATTTGCCAGAAATGTTTGCAATATGTCTTCTGCTGATCTACATGAGTACTCTTGTCCCCTGGATATCTGTACCCAATTACTATTGGAAGGGTGTGAGCTTTTAGTCTTTTTTGTTATAAAAATACTAAAAGTTAAATCGTGACATAAATTTCAAAAGGATACAAGCAGCTACTTAACTTTGTAACTAAGATAAAGTGTTTTAAGTCAACAAAAGAAGTTTTCATTTAACATCACACAACAAACTTTTCTACACGTATAAGATTTTGTGGGACCCACATTTTTTGAAGAAAAAAGAAAAAAAGAAAATTACGGTACGTAAAACGAATCTCTATAACATTACACAATCATTTTCCTACAACATAATATATATATATATATATATATATATATATATATATATATATATATATATATATATATATATATATATATATATATACATACGCGTTCTCTTTAATTTTTGGGGTGCGACCAAATATTGTGGGCTTTTATCGTCGTGGTTGGCTCAGTACTACTATGTTATTTCTGTTTTACAAGCGGTGTAAATGGATTAGTAGTGTAATCCCCCAGATTTTTACCTTAAAAGCAAGGGTTATGTTTATCTCATTTTACATAAGATATACAATTTTTTTACACACACAAAAAGGGATTGGATTCCACTATTTTTTTTCACTCTTCTTATCTGTGGGTCCCGCTTATACTTTTATTTTTACAACATAAAATAATTTTTTCTACAACATAAGAAAAATATATTCCTAAAAAATGTAAGCAGCATAAAATGGACTGGAGTATGGTCATATTTGCTTGGGGTTAGGCTGCTACTAGAGGCTGCAATCAAGACCAAAAATTTGGCCCAATAAAAATTAGGGCTGAGACCTAGTGAGGTCTCCAACCCCATTATGTCTACCCCTAAGTTTTTATGTCTTTGTCACGAATCCCTTTTTTCATCCCAAATACCTCATCTACCACGTGCTCTGATTCTGTCCTTGTAGCATTTGAGGAGCCTAAAGGGGTCCAAGCCCCAGTGTCTACTCCTTAGGGCCTTAGCTATGAAATTTTTTAATATACTCCAGATCACTATAGTGCTTCCACTCAAATATTGACATGTGTATTAACTTTTTTTTCTTTTTTTCGCTCTCTTCAATTTTTTCTCTCTTTCTCTCACCTCAGTCCCACCCTATATCTTTTACTCCCAGACCACTAAATCTTCGCTCCTTAGCCATTATGGCCAATGGCCTATAGAATGACACTTTACTACTTCCTTTCATAATTCCAAATTCCAATCCTTTTTGTTTTTTGTTTTTTCATTTTCAGGACACTTTATTATATACAAACATTGTGTATTACAGATACAATAACTTGAATTATAATGACTTGTACAATCTTGAAGATGACTGCAGATTAAGCCAAGAGCCAGAAATCTTTGTGACGCTTAGTAGTAATCATATAGCCTCCAATTTTCTTACTTTTTCTTCTCACAGCAATTGCCATGCAATGAGCATTCTGTATGCAGTACTCTACCACCCCACCAGTGACTCTGTGGCCTGCCCACATCATGAGAAGACGCCATGTTGTGGACCTCTTCTTCTGCCCCAAAACCAGAAGTGCCACACCTTGTTTTTTGGCTTCCTCCACTATTTCTGGACCCTTTTCCTTTCCTTCTATTACTGCAATCTCAATTTGTACCTATCAGAACCATATCTCCACCTTTAATCATCACATTTATATCAAGTAAAATACTGTCATTAATGTTATACTTAATTAACATATGGGCATGCCTCATGGATTACCATCAATAATTTTCTAACATCATCATACAGAGGATGTAATCTTGATTGATAACCCAAAGATGAAATTCGACAAATTTACATGGGTTCTCCTACTTTTTTTCAATTTTAACATTTTGTGCCACGGAAGAAACAGGGCGTTAATAGGACTATGAGAATGTTGAATATTATTGGTAATAGTACTATATACCATACAGCCTAAGGGAATTAAACTCACCTCAGGCTTCTTCATGTGACACATATTCTTGAAGGAGGAAGCAAGTTCATAAGCTCTTGGAGCTATCACCTTGCTGGATGCTTCTTCAGTGGCTGCCATATTGTACGAACCATAATCATTTTCAGTCATAAACAAATAAGTCAAAGTTGAACGAAAAAACAATGGTATGATCAGTTTTGCACCTTGTTTAGAAGGCTTCATCACATGAAGAAGAATTATTGTGTCCTGGTTCTGAACTGTGTGAGTGAGTGCCCATTGCACAGCACCTTTGGCTTCAAGGCTAGAATCAACCACAATCATGATCTTCCTACCAATAACAGACCCGGGTTTAACCCCATCATCAGGTTTCTCATCGCAAGAACTGCATGAATTCTCAGTTTTTTGATCAATTTTAGTGGCACTTGTGTCATGCTTGGCTTGTATAGGAGGGGAACGCACTCTAGCATGAGGCCTAATTCTGTTCAGGCAGAACCCTGGTAACCTTGTTCCTCTCTTTCCCATGTCTTAGAAACACAGTTAGAGAAGACACCAATTATTAATAAGGGGAATAACAGAGAAAGAGCAACAATAATACCTGCTGGGGCTGAACAAGTTTCTACAATGTTGGCCTGGGACATAGTTCATTTATGCTTTCCTTTTTCTTTTACTTTTCTAATCATTTTTTAGTTCTTGGTTTCTTTTGATTTTTTCCCCTTTGTGGGGGGTCCTTGTTTTGTTCCACATGAACGTGCTTGTCATCAAGCTGTAGGCCCATTCAACCTTTTGGACATGGTTAAATAATCAATCTCATTATTAGAGCACTTTGTTCCTCCTTCTAACACCTCATTAGAGGCTTCTTCTGTGACTGATTGTAATTTGCAAAGCACCATTTCATATCATTACAGGATGTTTTCTTTTTCCCTTTTGCTTTTCTCCCCTTATCTGTTTTCTTTGTTAAGGGTGAAGAGACTGTTAGGTAACAATAACAAAGCAACCGAACCAAAAAATAAATAAAGTTGCTTGCAGTTTCACTAGCATCTAATTGAAGAAAAATGTATATGCTTTGCAGCTTTAACATATCATGGTTTGTGCAAGTCTTACTGTATCCTTCAATCTCGGTATAGTATTCTAATGATGCAGGTTTAACTCATCATAATCTTATCATCCAAATCAGATAGTAACAAAAACGTTGTCTACAAAAGGCAAAGAGATCATCTATCAGGTTCAACGTTTGGGGCAGTTATGATTAATTGTTCTTGCAGCATTTCATCTGTTAAAAAACATTGTAAATTGTTTTGATGAACTATGATGACTAACCAGTTAACTGTTCCTTTTGCATTGCATTGTGTCAAATGACTTTCTTCCTACGCTACAGGTTCATCATTTTAATCATACTAATTGAATTTCCACTTAATAATACAATGATGTTCCCCATAAGGAAAAAGATTAAAAATGATTAATATGATGAAAAGGTTTGGCTTCATAATGTGAATTTGCAAAGTTAAAATAATGTCAAGGGCTTTTCTTTAAAAAAAAAAAAAGAATTTTAAAGGTTCTGTGACATCTAAGAAACAAAATCCCCCCTCAACTCAACCTGTCCTTATCCAATATTTGTAGTCTCATATTTTCTGAATCACGTATAAGGGTGACAAATTCTGAGTATGACATTTCATATTTCACACTGACCAAAATGACAAACTAAGCATTTTATTGGGACCTACATGTTCTACAAATGATGGCACCCTAACATTTGCGTTTCTACTTACTCCTCACACAACTGAAGCATGTAGTTCTGAATTTGTTACCTTGGTCCTCATCCTCCTCTCTAATTGTGACTTGTAGTTTTCTTGAGCTGAATTTTGGCATCCAACCTTAAAATGTTTCAGTTTGGCCATAACTTACAAACAATAAGAAGCGAATGAGTTAATGACACATGGTACACATGTAGAGTGGTTTAGTTAAGAGATTAAGCATATTTTTGTTCATTCAAATGCCATTTAGTTCGAGTATTAATGTTGGGCCTGCTCCCTTAAACACCAACATTAAAGAAGAAAAAAAAGGAAGAACATGATAGCTACAGGCTAACTTCAAGTTTGACTCTCCACCAAAAGTGGGGAAACTCCAATTGATTTGAAGGCAAAAGAAGATTCTACCTATCTAAACAGGATGACCCATCTTGATTAGAATGGTAAAGTCATTTGGCAATTGAGTAAAACCTGGTAAGACTTCAACTGGTTTCTAATTATAATTGTAGTTATGGCGTCACATCCACCAAATCTTCATTTTATTTTTAATTCTTTAATGTTTTCTTTTATGCTAAACAACAACTAAAAGTCAAATTGAAAATTGAAAAGTAATTATCTGCCAGGTTGTATAATTTATGAATGCTAAGATGGCTTAGTTGAACAAATTAGCATTAACAAATCGAAAAAGGATGATCAAAAGCTAAGCCCACTTAATAATGATAGCCCACATGTAGGTCCAATATCCATTTTTTTTAATTCATTTGTTAATAAAAAAAATAATGGACTACCACAATACTTAAAGCCCACTGATAAGTTCATGCAATGTGACTTATAACACATGTTTGTGATATAAAAATGTGAGAAAAAGAATACTTTGTGTATAATTTTAACCCCAATGACATTGATTGCAATTATGTGGAGTAAAAAAATTGATGAGATATTTGTTTTTTTATGTTTCAAGTAAAAAGATTTGAAAGAAGTGGGCTATCAAAGCAAAAGAAGAAGTAAAAAAAAATGGGCCGAGGAACCCAAATCAAAAAGGCCCAATGGAAAGAAAAAAAGAGAAAGACCCAATTAGTCATCAGAAGGAAAAGAGAAGAAGAAAGAAAAGGTGGTTAGCGTGGAACAGAAATTGGAAAACACACTGAGTCCTTCAAACCCTAGCCCCCTTGTCCTTCGAACCCCTCACCTGATGCCAACCACATAGTCATTCAATCGACCGTCCAGCCCCATTTTTGTTAAGCCATCGAACCACACAAGTCTTTCCTTGTAGTGATTTGTGTGACCCTTGTTCTAGAAGCCAGATCTTTATCGAATCGTGACGTGGAGGTTGTTACAAGCATGGAGAGGGATTCTTCTTGGTGGAGCGTTTGAGGAGAGTGTGGATTCTTCATCTCTGTTAAATAGTTCAGTCCTTATTAACTTGAGCTAAACCTTTTAAGGGTTGGGTGATTGAGACTCCAACTACAGTGAATGATGCAATTTACCTTTCTGATATAAATGTTTACTTTTCGTAGTGCAACTGCTTATTAATTGAATGATGTATCTATTTCGGCTGAATAAATTATATGTGTGTTCGGAGAAGGGTATTGGGAAATATCCTTTTCTGGAAACTGAGTTGAATTCATGAACTCAAATAAGGTTTTATTTGAAGGAGAATTTCTTATCAGATTTTACTTCTCCAAGTGGTTATGAGGACCTGAGCTTCAAGCTCTTAATCTCATTAACTTAGGGATAAGTGTTTGGGGAAAAAGATTTTAAGGGATTAAAAATCTATAAATGTCTGCCAACGGAAAAATAATGTTTAAAGAATTTTTCTTAAGTAAGTTGCATCAAGAGTTGTAGGGAAGGAATCAAAACCCAACCCATTTTTTCAATTAGAACTCTTAAACTTTTTGCCTTACATTCTTATTTCTTTTTACTCAGTTAAGTTTTTTCACAATTTTTTGAAAATATCATCAACGGAAAATGCCAAAAATAATTTTCTCAACTTATTTTTTTTTATGTAGTGAACAAGTTCTTTTTGATATGACTTCTTATTTTGAAACCTTCCAGTGAAGAGTAACTTCTGATTTCTCTTATTTTTCTGTAACCAATTTAATTTTAATTTCTCTTTAGAATTTAGTTTAGCAATTGAAATTTTTCTTCTGTACTTTTTCGCCAAAAAGATCCTTGTGGGAACGATATTGGGGTTATAAATACACCCTATATTACTTGTAGTTGTGTATACTTGCGTATGTCTTGCATACTCTTTAGCAAGGCCAACAAGGTTTTGGCGCCGTTGCCAGGGATCGAACCCGGGTCACCCGCGTGACAGGCGGGAATACTCATCACTTTTCTTCATTTGTTAATAAAAAAAAGTAATGGACTACCACAATACTTAAAGCCCACCATTGGGATCTATTGTTTTGTCTTTCACTGTTCTTCTAGTAATTGTGTTTAAAATATGTTAATAGGGATAAGATCAACTTATATCAGTGTAAGAATAACTTGCCCCATGTTAATAAAACATTTTTTTAATTATTGAATAAAATTTTGTGTTTGTTTCATTAAATAACTAGTACCACTCCCTAGTAATGAAGCCAACATAAAATTCCACTAAATAATAAAAATAAAAGGTAATTAGGAGAAAAATAAACAAAGATAAAGTAACTAGGATGGAATAACTATAAGAAAATATAGAGATAAGAGAGAGAGGTAGGAAAATATCTTATTCTTGTATTGTAATATGTCTCGAAGCTTTGTATATGCCTCTATTTATATGCTCACAATACAAGATATGTTACAATAAGGTAAATGACAATAATTACTCTTCTTCAGTGGTTACCATTTGGGATTAAATATCCAACAGTCGTATTATTTTGAGGTTATAGGCATCCAACAGTCATATTATTTATAACACTCCCCTTTGGATGTCCAATAATGTAACTAGTTACAACCATAAAAAGAAATACGTATTAGAACTCGCCTTATCAAAAACCTCACCAGGAAACCCAATGAGACAAAACCATGGTTAAGGAAAAAAAGAGTGCAACACGTATTTCACCCCCCGATGATAACATTATTTAATATCTCTGAATTTATGATCCTTAATCTTGTATACAAGCTTCTCAAAACTTGAAGTAGATAATGCCTCGCTAAATGAATCTTCCAAATTATGACTAGAACGAATTTGTTGAACATCAATCTCACCATTTTGTTGAAGATCATGAGTGAAGAAGAATTTTGGTGAAATATGCTTTGTTCTATCTCCATTGATGTATCCTCCCTTTAATTGAGCTATGGAAGCAACATTATCTTCATACAATATTGTTTGAACCTCTTTTTCTAACTGAACATTGCAGGGTTTTCGGATGTGTTGCGTCATTGACCTTAACCAAACACATTCTCGACTTCCTTCATGAATCGCTATTATCTCTGCATGGTTTGAAGAAGTGGCTACTATAGTTTGTTTTGTTGAATGCCATGAAATAGCCATGCTTCCACTTGTGAAGCAATATCCTATTTGGGATCTAGCTTTGCGTAGATGAAATAAATATCATGCATCTGCAACACCAACAAGTTGATGTCCATAATCATTTGAATTAGGTAAACATATATCAATAGTTCCTCAAAGGTATCGAAATATATGTTTAAAATCATTCCATTGTCTTCATGTTGGAGAAGAACTAAATGTTGCTAATAGTTTTACAAAAAATGCTATATCTGGACGTGTATTGTTAGCAAGATACATTAAGGCCCCAATTGCACTGAGATATGGCACTTCAAGACCAAGAA